CATTGATTTAAAGTATCAGTTATTGCATTATTATTTCCGTCAAACCTATAAAACCCCTTTGTTACCCCAAACTACATATAAAAGCTTTATCAGTGGCATAAAGATAACCAATGCAGCTACTTAATCATTTGCTACTCGTTAACGCGCTAACGTCCCCTTTAAATAACGTGACGCTCTGCCCTCTATGACGCTGCTCCCATTAAGCGCTGTTGGAAGTGAATGAATTGATTCAACATTTCAACACCTCCGTAAGGATGCATTTAACTCGACAAAGCGGTCTAATAAAGGATGTATTGATCTCGTGAATTAGCGAATTTTACTATACAAATATTTTTTACGGCAGCCGGAATTTCGGTGCATCTCTAATTATTGGCGACATCAGAAATGGATATTATATAATAGATGCTTTTTTGAACATTTTAGCTATTTAAAAATATTAAAAAATGATTTTTTACACGGCACCCCTGCTCTCGACAGACGGCACCCCGGTTGGGAAACACTGCTCTAGCCCAATAATGTTGGGGGATCCAGTGGGGGCGGCAGTCATATTTCAGGGTGACCGTGCCACTCTTTATCACAACCCTGCTAAAAGTGCCAGTATGGGTACCCCATAATATATTGTATTTATCAAATGAAGAAGGAGGACATTACAACATTACAACATTACAGACTAACTAAAGTTGAAAAAGTGAAAAAGCATAATAGAAGCCGTTTAATGAAATGGAAATGGATTGTGAAGGAGGAGGACATGGACTTGTACATTTACACAGAAGGACTGCAGCTTTTTGCTTACAGTTTATACAGTGATTCCTTACTGGCCCAGAGAACTTAAGCTGGAGGCCAGTGGCCAGTATGATTTTAAAGACTGCTCAAGGACTATGCTTGGATAAGTCTTTGTTCTTGATCCCAAAAAAGTCAACACATCCAGAATGCCGGAGTTTTACAGGAATATTTTTAAAGTATGGGACCTCTTTCAAGTGAAAATAATTGGTTCTACATCATCTTTATTCTGGCTGTTGAAGGAACCCCTGATCTATGGATCACGTTTGGACATTTTGGGTGCATGTGGGACAATGACTGCAGCGTTCATTAAATCCAAGATTAAAACAATTGTATGTTTAGTCAAAGTGGCTGGCCCAAGTCTTGGAAAAGCTGAGGATGTAGCTGTGGAGTGAAATCCATTCGAATTATTACACAAGTACTATAGAATTTACAATCTGCTTTTACAACAGAATAATTAAAAATGCTTCAAGGTTACAGTGAAGGGGAATTTATCCCTAATGAGAAGGACCAGTTTCCAAATCTGCTTCTTTCACAAAATGTAGGTGATTGTACAGGATGTTTTTTGGAATCTGAAAAGGTGACAGACATGGATTTGTATGAAAGTAATGGGAAAAAATTGTATAAAGCTTGTGTAAAATCTTTTAACAAACAGGGACTACATGAAAGAGTTGACACACCGTGGTACTGTTTTTAAGATGAGTAATAATGTTAGACCGGAGTGGAGAGCACTGTACAAGCCACCGTTAACTAAAAGAGCTGGAGATCTATAGGTGAATTCTACATGGCACTCTTGCTGTTAATGCTTTTATTTCTGTTTTAAATCCAGATGTTAGCAATGAATGTCCTTTTGTTTTCAGAGAAAGACCGTTTTTCACACCTTTTTGTACTGTTCAAGACTTAAGCCTTTATTTGATGGTTTGCTAACTCTTTTTAATTGTTTTAATGAGAAGTTTTCTGTGCAAACTTTTATTTTGGGCTTTAAATATGTTCAAAAACGAAAGAATGAGAGTCAATTGCTTAATTTTATTTTGGGTAAAGCCAAAATGTCCATTTACATTAGCAGAAGAGATAAAATTGAGCAAAGAATTGATTATAATGTTGAAAGGGTGTTTAGCAATGATCAAATCAAGGCTTTTAATTGATTTTAATTTTTACAAAGCTATGGACTCCTTAAATATTTTTGAAAGAATATTGTGTCATAGAGGAGCTTTGTGTTCTGTTATTGAAAATTAACTTCATTTTGCACTCTTTTTATAAAATGGTTTCAAAATTGTGAAAAATTGATGTTATGCGATTTTATGTGACTAATCTTTTTGTTAAATAAAGATGCTTGGAAATTCACAATTCTCTCTCTCTCTCGTCTCAGTGTGAGCTGGCTTATATAGAAGGTCCTAAGCTCCTCTCTGCTGATGTGGCTGAGGTATGAGTGTGTGTGTAGGTCAGGTTTTGCCCATATTGCAGGCACCAACTGTCCCCACATAAAACCTAGTAACATTATATATTGTGGGGAGCAGCCAACAATCCTCATGAGTAAAATGGCTCAATAAACATACAAATAATGTCTTAATGAAACTGGAAAATTGCAAAAAGGTTTGTAGCAAAGATTTCTCAAGTTTGTTGGGTTTGAAGTGATAAAACAACTGCTGAAAATGAGAAAAAAGTATTTTGACACTTCGCCATGTCCATAGCTGAGTCAGGAGATGGAGAAAGTAAAGGAAAAATGAAGAAGATGAGGATGAATATTATGAATGTAGTTTGTATGTATGCGACCCATCTAAACACACTCAGCACATTCAGAGCCATAATTAGTGAGGGATGAGGAGGTGCTCTCTCTGCCTACAGTCAGCCTGACCTCTGTTACTACAGGAACCCCTGGAGGAAGTGACAGCCAAGCTAAGAGGTCACATCCCACGACTCCACTTCCTGCTGCAGCCTCGACTAAAGCTGCTCCAATTAGACAGCGAGAATGAGAGACAGAGGGATGGACGGCTGGAACATGACAAAAAGAAACAACATCTCTGCAAATAATGATTTTCATATTCGAAATTTTTGTCTTGTTTTCCAGTATACAAATATTTAAATATTCTTCAAATCAAGCCAAATGACATAAAATATTGTCTTTTTTTTTTTTTCTGAAAAATGTATCTTTTAAAAAAATGTCTTAAAGCCAGAAAATATATTTACCAATGGGGTTAGAAAAATAATCTTGTTTATTTTCAGCAGATACTTCTCTTCTTGTTTTCAGCAACTCACTTAATTTTGATAATTTCGGAGAATTTAGATTTTTCAGAAAATATTTTGCTTCTCAAGCAAATTAATCTTGATTCAAGAAAGTTTAGATATTTGTACTAGACAAAGACGAACGCCATAAGAAAACCATTTCTTTATTTTTTTTCCAGCAACATTTGATTTTAAGGGCAATGTTGTTCTGGTGCTATATTGAGTCACCAGTTAATGACCAATGTAAAGCCAGAGTCCTGAAGCAAATGCAGCTGAGAAGTCATGCTTAACAAGCGCTTCGGCTCCGCTGAGAGACGAGGAGCTGCATGGACACTGCACTACTGAAATAAATGTGTTGAGCAGAGACGGAGAGGAATCATCATCCGCTGAACCTATGACAGCAAGAGAAGAGCATTGCTGCAGGCAGCTCAGCCCATCCTCGACTGCAGAATGACAGCAGAGAGAGAGAGAGAGCGAGACAGAGAGAGAGAAGCCAGCCATCACTTGCTTGAGGCGCCTTCATGTTTCACACACACACACACACACA